AGCCCCCCCCGACTCGAAACCCACTCACCGCTCCCAAAACCCCCTCCCCGATCTGCCACGGCCGCGGCCGAAAGTTCTCGGCCGGAGCGGCCGTGGCCGGGGGGGTCCCGTCCACGGCCAGCGGCCGTGGCTACGACCGAACTCGGCCGCGGCTAGGGGGGAACATAGCTTGAGGTACTACGAGGGCGTCGTCAGCGACTACGACGTGAGACTCATGCGGGAGGCTGAGACGTACATCCTCACACAGATTGGGTTTAGTGAGGCGAGCCCCGATTACGAGGCAGCATGTGCCCAACTACGTGACTTCCACACACGGAGAGGGGCCATTGCGTGGGGGGGGAGGGATGGAGAGAGGGAAGCACAGACTCTGAGGTGCACCAGCGATGTGGAGACGTACGAGGCCGGTTGTTGGTGGTCCAAGTGGGGACAATGCGCCCCGCAGCTGCAGGTCATCGCTCTTCGTGTCATGTACATGTGGATATCTTCCTCTCCCACAGAGAGGAACTAGGCCGTCCACGAGGCAGTGCACACGAAGACGCGTAACAAGCTCGAGTTCCATAAGGTCGCGAAGTTGGTAGAGATCTCGGCCAACGTCCGCCTTCTCTCTCACCAGCGGGCTGGCCGTGGCCTTGTGTTGCCATGGACGATCGATGAGTCGATGTTGGATGTGGAGGGAGGCATAGGGACGCAACCGTCGTGGCGGGGACGGACGCTAGCAGGACACAGGAGGACCGAGAGATGCAGAGACGTGCGTGGACGCAAGACCCGTGTGGGTCGAGAGCTCCTCCGGGAGAGGTTGGGGAGGTTTTTGGGACTCGAGCAGCCACGTTGCGTCCCTACTCCAGAGATGACAACAGTGATGACGAAGGCCCTGAGGGGGACGACGAGCGGGCGGGACCTGCTGACCATCCGGCCTCACAAGAGGCCGATGACTAGAGCGACCCGGAGGACGTCCGTAGACGTAGCGGCGGGGGCGACCTTTTTGGTGGAGGTGACGGGAGCCCTTTTCATCGAGAGCGGTCTTCGTCTCCGGGGCCCCAGTCCGTCGATACGCAGGCGGTGCATGGATCTGCGCGTTCGAGGGGGGCAGAGTCAGCGGTGGGTGGCGGCCTGCCTGAGCATATCAGAGGTTCGCCCCCCAGAGGGCGAGTGCATAAATTGGTGAAGGGCCCGAGACAACGATTAGAGGAAAGATTGTCAGGCGGTCCTTCACTGGGTGAGAGGGTCGAGAGAGATGTGGAGAGGCCCACTCGTGGACGTAGTGGTCCATTGGCAGGAGACGGATGTAGTCTAGTTCAGGGGGCAGTTCAGATAGGCAGTCTTGGGGGGGCTCGTGACGAGAGATTGTCGATGGGCGGTGGCAGAGGGTTTAGTCAGTTTACTGATATGGGACCGCCCCCCGGAGAGAGTGATTCTCGGGGTGACCTGAGTGTCGGCGTGCAGGCCCTATTAGACCAGATCAGCGCCGTGCAGCCAGAGACTTTCACCCCTGCCATGCGCAGAGAGTTGGGAGCGTCGGCAGCCGAGGCACAGGTAGATGAGGACCTTACACCCCCTGGAGAGACATTTGTAGAGAGGCTGGACAGACTTGATAGTCGCCGAGCTTGCCTCCTGGCACGAGCCGATCCCAGGACGCAGGAGTTGGGTCGTCAAGCAGCGGAGGAGCGACAAAGACAGTTGGGGACGTTCATGGATATGCCCCATGACGCACAGGCGGCTGGCCACATCGATCCGGTGACAGAGGTTCGTGATGGGCGCAGGTGGAGGTAGCTGGACGCGAGGAAGGTTTCGCAGGGACGCAGGGGGAGGTAGTTGCAGGCAAGGGGACTTCAGCAGGGATAGACGGGGAGGCAGCTGCACGTGAGGCAGGTGGAGGTGAGACGGGTGGAGCTGAGGCAGCTGGGATGCCGAGGGAAGCGCAGGGGTTGCACGAGACCGGGGTCCCCGCACCAATGACCCGCGTCTGCTGCCTGACCTGCCTCTTCACGACGGCCAGAGGACCGAGGATGCTTTGCCTGAGACCGAGGACATGCATCCTGGTCTGGAGGACATACAGGGGAGTCAATCGATGGGCGTTGATGATGTTACCCCAATGGCACAACCAGACAGGATACAGCCGACCACGGGGGGGGGGGGGAAGGACTTAGAGGAGAGAGTTCATGGTGATCCGGTGTCCTCGGTTGGTGTTGCTCGCCATGCACAGGTCGATACCGGGGTTGGACATAGAGAGGAGGCGATCGGTGGACCTGACAGAGACAGACAGGAGGCGTCACTGAGTTTGGTGGTCCGCACGGTCGTGGGGCCGGTGGTGCCACATGAGGCACCATTTCCTGTAGATCCGATGCGTTGTGCAAGTGGTGTCGCCTCGATCGCAGAGCGACGTGTAGGCAGGGGCATGTGCGCACCTCCGATCCCGCCTTTCGCACCGTCTAGGGAGACGACACAGCCGAGGTATGTGCCTCAGCCTCGTGGCACCCTTGCTTTCGGTTGTATGACCGCCGAGGAGTTGGAGGCGCACGGCACGATGGATTACACCGAGATCGACACAAGCCGACCAGACTTGACTTGGGCGCCAGCCAGCCCTAGCTTACCATCTGGAGGTTCTACTGTGGCGCCCTCTCACTGGGCTGGAGGGCCGTTGTCACCCCCGACCGTAGATGTCCAGTCGCGCGGCAGTCACACCCCAAGGTTGGCTGCCCGCATACAGAGAGACACGAGCGACTGTGGACGGGACACAATTTTGTTCCGTCGCACTGATCGGCCATGGAGCGAGACGAGACGGGTGGCATCGGCGAGCACGGGTCGTCAGCCCGGTTTGAGAGGGGTTTCCACGAGCGGGGGTCGTCGAGATGTTGTGGCGTCAGGGTTTGGTGACAGAGGCGGGGACAGTGGCGGCATTGGTGGCGGACGTGAGGGCACGAGCGATGCGGATGCGGAGGCAATACAGCGGCCACTGATGTACGGTTCGAGAGAGACCTCCATCATTCTAGATGAGCCCGAGGTCGGGCGACGAGCCAGGCAGGCCCGACACGTGCCGATCGATCGACACCAGGAGGGGGAGACTTCAGGGGCAGACGGTCTGCCTATGCGCCGTGAGTCTCGCCGACATGTTGATTTGGCATCCACAGGCGTCAGACCGCGTAGCGGCAGGAGAGTTATCATGGACGACGACCCGGACGACCTTCCTGAGCCGTCCACTGCTGGTCGCGGCCAGCAATGCCAAAGAGGTCGAACACGAGGCACTGGTCAGACACATGGACGAGGTTCACGTCGGTCAGAGCAGCGTTCGCCTGCAGACGAGGATCGTTGACTGTGTTCAGACTTCCGTTTGTTTTCTTCGTTTTGTTTTGTGTAGTTTAGTTTTTTGTCTTCCATGACCAGCATAGCATGCAGTGATTTTGTGCAGTTCACTTTTCACACTTGTTTTTTGTTCGCTACTTAGAGATAGGCATTAGGGCTGGTCTTCGACATCATGTTTCGGGATGTTATATAGATGACGCAGGTGTTTCAGGATTTCGTTCTGTAGTTTAGATCGACGTTTTCCATCACCGGCGGGAGTTTGACTCTATGTGTCAGATGTATTTTGCTATTACGCATGCTAGATTGAGACTCACTGAGTTGTGTTTCGGTTCAGACATTATCTCGGCATTTGTGGTGTTCCTTTTTTTATGGATGACGAGTGTTGCATGTATCGTTTTATGTTTTTCCACGTGTCGTTTCTTACGTTTGATAAACCAATGTGTGAAATTCCATATGAGTCCATGAATGGAGTGACAATTAGATAAATGTATATGCATGTGTGTCTGTGTGTGTGTCTATGTCTGTGTCTGTGTGTCTATGTCTGTGTCTGTGTGTGTTTGCTTGTCGCAGCTCTCTCACATCACCCAAGTGCAACATCTCAGAAAAGCAAGAAACCGTTGTTGAATTATCTCTCCAACCCCCCC